TCTCTCTCACTGTCCACTCTGCCTGTCAAAAAAAAAAAATTTTAAAAAATAAATTAAAAAATAGAAAATAGATATTAGTAAAAAAATAAGAATGGGAATAGGAGAGGGAGGAGAAAGAGGGGTTGGGAGGGTGAGTACAGTAGGAAGAATCACTATATACCTAAAGTTGCATTTATGAAAAGATAAATAATTATACATTCAAAAAAAAGTCCCACAAATATGTACCCTGGTAAGCAAAAACTGATGGCTCAAGTACTTGGGTCCCTACCACCAATGTAAGAGAACTAGACGGAGCTCTTGGCTTTCGGCTTCAGCCAGGCCCAGCCCAGACCATTATGACTATTTGGGAGTGAACCAGCAGATGTGAGCTCTTTCAGACAAGTCAGTTTTTTTAAAAATCTTACTGTTCCAACCAACCCTTGTTTAAAACCCTCCAATGACTTTATTGCACAAGGAATCCCAATTCTGGGGCCAGCACTGTGGCACAGCAGGTAAAGCTGCCACATGCAAAGCCTGCATCCCATGTGGGCAGTGCTTTGAGTCCTGGCTGAGCCACTTTAATTTTTTTTTTAAATTTATTTGAAAGAGTTACAGGGAAAAGTAGAGACAGAGAGAGGTCTTCCATCCGCTGGTTCACGCCTCAGATGGCCACAATGGCTAGAGCTGGGCCGATCCGAAGCCAGGCATTTCTTCTGGGTCTCCTACGTGTCTGCAGGGGCCCAAGGACTTGGGCCATCTTCTACAACTTTCCCAGGCACATTAGCAGAGAACTGGATCAGAAGTGGAGCAGTAGGACTTGAACCGGTGCCCAAATGGGTTGCTGGTGCTGCAGGTCAGGACCTTAACCCACTGCACCACAACGCTGGCACCAGCTGCTCCACTCTTGATACAATTCCCTGCTAATGATCTGGAAAAAGCAGTGGAAGATGATCCTAATGCTTAGGCCTCTCGCCCTCCCCCTCCTCCCCCCTCATTCTGCCTCTCCCTCTCTCTCTTCCTCACTCTGCCTCTCCCTCTGCCTCTGTCAAATAAAATAAAAAATAAATCTTTTAAAAAAACAATTATAATATTCATAAACAACTTTATTCCAACAAATTTGAAGCCTTAGATGAAATTAAAAAATTCTATAAAAAATATAACTTACCATATGACATAAAGTGAAACAGAAATTTTCAATAGCCCTAAATTTAAAGAAATTAAACTTGAATTCATTATTAAGGAAGAAAACCTAAGCCCCGATAGTTTCACTGGCAAATGCAATTGGTCTAAAATTTTAAAACATACTTCAAACTAAGTGTAAAATGACATAGCACACATAAAAGCCTGCAGGGGGTACAGGACAAAGTGACCGACCTTTGCTGCTCACCGCTGGACGGCCAGTTCACCAGGACCGAGAGTGGGTAACAGGAAAGGGTTAATTCAAGTTCCCAGAAGCTCTGGGAACAAGAGTGATGGCTGGATCCAAACTGCTCTTTTCCACCAATAAACCATCAAAAAAAGGGTTTTTAAAGGGAAGAGGCAGCTGCAGGTGGAGGCCAGAAAAAAAAAAAGTCTGATCAATTGATAATTAAGCAGATCTTCCATACCTGCTCCAACGGCCAGGGCACTCTGGATGTCAGCCAGGTGGCGGTTTCTTACTAATGGAGCTCAGCTGGTTGGGTTGAAGGTTGCAGACCCTCTTCTCAGTGGGGGTGAGGCCTGCCTTCCAAGTCAATTCCTTTCAGTAGGATCCTCAAATTGTCCACAAACATTATTATCCCATGATCACAGATAATTCACAACACCAGCAATGGGCTCTTGTCAGTCAAAATACGAGAAGGGAAATTACACGGGTTTGATCAAAGAGGAATTCATAACTAAGTAGAGGTATCTCAGAAATCCCATCCAAGGACAGTTCAACAATGTATCATTATAATTTTGTACATTAACAGAAGACTGAAAAGAAATTGTATGGTAGGTTCAGTGAAAGGATTTGATATTCACTGCTCATTTAAAATTTAATATGGGGCCCGTGCTGTGGCACAGCGGGTTAAGCTCTAACCTGCACATATGGGCACCAGTTGAGTCCCCCGCTGCTCCACTTCTGATCTCACCTCCTGCTAATGCACCTGGGAAAGCAGCAGAAGATGGTCCAAGTCCCTGGGCCCCTGCACCCACAAGGGAGACCTGGAAAAAGCTCCTGGCTCCCGCCATTGGCTTGGCACAGCCCTGGCTATTGGCCACTTGGGGAGTGAACCAGCGATGGAAGATCTCTGTCTCTCCTCTCTCTCTCTGTAACTCTGCCTTTCAAATAAATAAATCTTTTTTTAAAAATTAAGGCAAAAATTCTTGGAGAGCCAAAAATAAAAAAATTTCATATTCCATAAAATATACTTTTCAGAAAATTACAGCAAATATTAAAGAGTGAAACTAGAGGAAATACGGCCAGAGACAAAGAAGAGCAGGCACCCTGCCCCCAACACAAACCTTGAAAAGTGGCTGCTCCCAATTAACCAGTGAGGCAGCTCCCACTGTTACCGCGTCCAGGTTGGGAAGATGTCCTAGGTTCTGCTTTGGTAACTCCAGGCGTAACTCTGCCCTATAGTCTTCCCCAGGTATCCCTTTTATAAACATGCCGGACCCACCGGCCATGGGAAGTGCGGTTCTAAGTCACGTAGGCTGCAATCTGAACCCACCAGTGCTGTAACAGTTAAGGTCTGATGCTAATGAACCTATAAGCAGTGTAAGAAACTCAGGATTGTTGCTCAGTTCTCAGGAAGAGATTCCAGCTGAGCCCGCTGGTGTGCGTAAACTGCCAGGATCCTCCACTGTCTCTGGTGCCTGTTTGAACAAAGGGAGTTTTCCAACTCCAGGTTTCTGTAATAAAACCTTAGAGATTGAAGAAATGAAATAGACCCACAGAAATAAAGTTAGATTTCCAAGATATCTTTGAGTAATTTAAAAAGTTGCAGATATAGTATTTTTTTTTAAAGATTTATTTATTTATTTTAAAGCCAGAAAGAGAGAATGAGAGAGAGAGTGTGTCTTCCATTTGCTGACGGTCACAATGGCTGGAGCTGAGCCGATCTGAAGCCAGGAGCCAGGAGCTTCTTCCAGGTCTCCCACACAGGTGCAGGGGCCCAAGGACTTGGGCCATCCTCCACTGCTTTCCCAGGCCACAGCAGAGAGCTGGATCTCAAACTGGTACCCAAATGGGATGCTGGCACTGCAGGTGGTGGCTTTACCTGCTATGCCACAGCGCTGGCCCCAACATAGCACTTAAAAACACACAAAACACTGTTTCTCTGTGGACACATACAGCTATGTAAATACACAGAAATAACACTGCTGGAAAACTAGAGTCCGGTTACTTGGAGGAGAGGCAGCCAGCACCAGAACTGGCCAGGGCACAGGGCTGGTTAGCAGACCCCAGCCTTACCTATCACGTTCCTGTCTGTTACAAGAATGTTGTTGGCACGAATTGTTCAGCTAAGCAAAAATTATTTTTAATCCATCAATATAAAAAGCCCTTGGAAATATGTACAAAAACCTCTCTTCCTTTTGAAGAGAAAGGATTCAATTAGTTCTTTTTGGTTCATTGTAAGTTTGTACAGGCACTTTCGTTGTATGCTATTTCTTAATATGCCTGAAATGGGATTAACTCCATTTAATCTAGATTATGCCAAAAGCTACCAAACAGAGTACGATGGAAAACTCTCTAGCGTTTGCCAATATCCACTATGATGTTAGAGATAAAGGGAGACATTTGAGATACGGTTTTTCCCCCCTTTTATTTCCTTTGGAACGTAACAAAATTAGTCCTGAGGCCCCCTGGAATCTGCCTGAATTTTCACCGGAATCTCAGCTGTTCAGTAGGGATTTTAGGTTAGGATTCATTCTCTCAGGCAAAGAATAAAGAAACCACATTTGCAGCCTGAAAAACTGGCACCAAGACATTTCCTTTCTTTTTTCTTTTTAAAGACTTATTTATTTATTTGAAGGTCAGAGATGGAGAGACAGAGAGATCTTCCATCCATTGGTTTACTCCCTGGTGGCCACAACCGCTGGGCTGGGTCAAGCCAGGAGCCGGAGCTTCCTCCGATCTCCCACGCGGTGCAGGGGCCCAAACACCTGGGCCACTCCCACTGCTTTTCCCAGGCGCACTACAAGGGAGCTGGCTCCAGAGTGGAGCAGCCGGACTCGAACCTGCACCCATACGGGATGCCCGCACCACAGGCGGCAGCTTCACCCTCTATGCCACAACACGGGCCCCACGACATTTATTTCTCAGCACTCGCCGATTTAACGGTGATTAGGGGGTTCCTGGCGTCTGCCGCCACTGGCGCTGAGCGGCCCTAACCCGTCTTCGTTCCAAAGCCTGATAAAAGACATTACAGGAGAACGACAGGCCAGTAATCTCCCGCGAACTTAAACGCAAAATTCTAAACGAAGTCGAATCCGGGAATATAAAAACAGGACGATCCATCACAAGGAAGCTAACCGAGAGCGACAGGAAGCAGAAAAGCGGTGGACCGGGGCCGGGGCCGGAGGGATTCGGCTGTGTTCGCTCTCTGGAGTCCGGCGACAGCTCCCAGGTGTACCGAGCCGTTCACTGGCGTGTGGGCAGCTTGAGGTAGACCGACTGCACCTCAATAGAGGTACTGCTTAAAAAGCTGCCCGTGCCGTCCCGTCGTGGGGAGTGTGGAGCGCTCAGAGGCTCCCCCACTTCTGGCTGTCGTACCCGCAGGACCTCCGAGGTGGAAACTAAGGAACGCGGGCGCGGTGGCCCGACGTCCAGGGGAGGATGCCACTTGCTTGCCAGGGGCGACAAGGGCGCCAGAGACGAGAAGGAGCCGCGCAGGGACGGAGGAGGGCGCGGGACCCCGGGGAGCGGACGCGGGGCCGGGCCACCGCGACAGACTCGAGGCGCCCGGGGCCGCGCTCCTCGCGGGAGAAACGCGCTCTGCGGTCCGGGGCGGAGGAGCCAGGCGGCGCCAGGGACGCGGAGGGCGGAGACCGAGGAGGGCGGGACCGCGCGGCGCCTGCTCCCCGCCCGCCCGCGCCCGGGCCGTCCTCGTCACGGCGCCGAGGGGCAGCCATGCCCGGCCGCCTGCTGCGGGGCCTGTGGCAGCGATGGCGCCGTTACAAGTACCGCTTCGTTCCTTGGATCGCGCTGAACCTAAGCCACAACCCGAGGTGAGCGGGCGGGACGAACCACGCCGCCAGGGCCTCTGGGCAGGAGGCGGGTGGAGCCTGAAGCAGCAAGAGCCAGCGGCGACCGAAGGGCCGGCCGAGGGGGGCGGGGCCGAGGAGGGCGGAGCCAGAGGCGGGCGGGGCCAGAGGCGGGCGGGTCTGAGGCCAGCAGAGCCCGAGGAGGGCGGAGCCCGAGGCGGGCGGGTCTGAGGCCGGCGGAGCCCGAGGCGGGCGGGTCTGAGGCCGGCGGAGCCAGAAGACGCGCGGAGGCTCGAAGGGGGCGGAGCCTGAGGCGGGCGGGGTTAGATGTGGGCGGGGCTGAGGCCGGTGAACCCCGAGGCGGGCGGGGCGCCCGTAGCGGGCGCTGGCCCGGGGTGGGCGTGGCCTGTGACTGCTCCTCTGTGTCCGCGCTGCGAGGCCTGCGAGGCCGGCTTCTCCCTTTGCTGTCTTTACTGGCTGGGGCCCCTGTATGCGCGCCAAAAGTAGAGACCTTTAGAAAGAAGACTCTGCGTGAGAGTGCGTGGCCTTTCCCCGCGGAGCCACAGTCAGGAGGTTGAATTTCCTCAGAAAAGCCAGACCAGGTTTATTTTCACGGCCCTGTGGGCATCATCTTTGTGCAGACAGTCCGTGCGGAGCTAACGCGTGAACCCGAGCAGAGTGCGAACTGCGGGCGTGGGGTCAGGACCCGGGCGACTGGGTGGGCGTGGGGCCTCGGTCTCTGCCGGCGGAGCTCCCCGAAGTCTCTAGCTTGCTGCCCAGAGTGGGGGGGCGGGAGGTGCGCCCGCTCTGTCCGCAGAATTACGGGGAGTGCAGCAGGAACCCCGGTTAGGGAAGCCAGCGAGGCAGCCCCTGGAGGGAACGTGACTGCGGGCGGCGCTGGAGCGGAAGCTGGCCCAGGCCTGTGGAAGACGCCGCGGGTGGACCAGGTCCAGGCGCCCAGCCGCGTGGGCCTGGCAGCGCCGGGCCGCAGTGCGCGGGGCCTAGACACAGGCTCCTGCTGCGGGTATTGTCGGCGCTGCTTAGCTGAGGCGACCCTGACAGTTCCTTCCTGGACCTCCTCGTCCCGTGCCCTTCGGACACACGCCTGGTTCCATCAGCCGGTACCCCGGGCCGCGTCCGGGCAGCCCGGCCTTCATCGTTCAAGGGTGGTCAACAGAAACTTTTCCCGTTTCCAGGACCCTTCGATATGTTCCAGAGGAATCCAAAGACAAAGTTCTCTCAGATGAAGATGTCCTAGGAACGTTACTGCAACTTTTCCAGGCTCTGTTCTTAAATGATTTCAGTAAACAGTCAGATATCTTGGCCGTGCTGCCCGAACCTGTTAAATCAAAATACCAAGACCTGTGGGCGGTTCAGCACCAAAGGGAAACACTGCTGGGGAACAGTCAGCCGCAGAACACCTTTAAGCCGGAAGAAGTTCTTTATAAGACGCTGGGTTTCTGTGTGGTCCGAGCACCTAGCTCAGTGATTTCTGCTGGAAAAGGTGTCTTCGTTGCCAAAGGATTGGTACCCAAAGGCGCGGTTGTATCTATGTATCCTGGTAATAGCACAATTAGTTCTTGGCTTAGAATTTCTATATATTGATACATTCAACAAAATACTTAGCCCTGTGATCTTTGAAATAGGGTCTGAATTGCAAACTTGTGTTCCCGTAAGTTTTTAAAAGTCTGATCTGGAAATTAACTTTATAAATGATGCCATGTGTTCGGCCATGCCCTAGAGTGTTGGCTGACTGGGGCCAGTGTCCGCGCACTGAAGGCTACGCTGCCGTTTGTGATGCCGGCATCCCGTATCAGGGCACGGTGTGCATCCTGGCTGCTCTGCTTCCGGTCCAGCTCGTGCTACTGTTGCTGAGAAGGCAAACAAAGATGGCCCAAGTAGTTGGGCCCATGCCACTCATGTGGGAGACAAATGGAATTCTGGGCTCCTGGCTTTGGCCTGGACCAGCCCTGGCCATTGTGGCCGCTGGGGGAGTAAACTAACAGATGGAAGATGTCTATTCTCTCTCTCTTCCTTTCAAATAATAAACATTCAATGCATTTTTAAGGAAATTTTTAAGTCAGTGTTTCCACTTGGAACACAGTATGGCCCACTTTGACAGATTACTTAGAAAACAATAAGAGAACAGCTCAATTTGGCTTATTTGATAACTAAAGAAAAAATGGTATGGGAGCTAGTGTTTAGCTTAGTAGTGAAGGTATAGGCTGAGATACCCACGTCCCACACAGGAGTACTGGGTTCAAGTGCTGACTCCTTCCTGATTCCAGCTTCCTGCTAACATGCACACTGGCTGGCAAGAGGAAGGCTCAAGTGCTTGGGTTCCTAGCACCCACGTGGGAGACCAGGATAGAGCACTGAGTTCAGGCACCCAGCTCTAGCCTGGGGTGTGTGGGAAGTGAACCGGTGATGGCACCCTCTCTCTCTCCCTGAGCCCCCTGCAACCCCCGGCCTATTTCTGTCCCTCTGTTTCTCAAATACATAAAAAAAATTCTAAATGTCATGGATTAAAATTCAAAAGGTAGACACTTAAATCCGTAAATCGCCGAGTAAAGACTTTCTTGCCATTTCTGTCCTTGGGCAGTACAGCAGCTTCTTTACAGAAGTTCACCAACTGGGATGCTGACAGACTATGTTGGTAAACTGCCTTTATCTTACATGGTATAGTGGAAAGGGTGTGGGTGTTTGAGTCAGGCTGACCTGTATCTTTAAAATGCATTCTGTTATTTTCTGCTTTTGTGTCCCTAAGCAAAGGCACATAGGAGGCATCCTGGTACATATTAATTTTTTCCTTTTCTTCCTTTGTCAGTGAAAGGAAAAACAAAGGGGTCTAAATTGCAGAGTCATCTGCAAGGGTAGTTCAAAAAGTACATGGAAAAATGAAAGGGTATGACTTTATTTTGATGTGAAAAATTTTTTGTGTACAAAAGTTTTCTTCAAGGGCCGGCGCTATGGCACAGTGGGTTAAGCCGCCACCTACAGCACCAGCATCCCACATGAGCACCGGTTGGAGTCCCAGCTGCTCCACTTCCAATCCAGCTCCCTGGTAATGTGTCTGGGAAGGTAGCAGATGATGGCCCAAGTACTTGGGCCCCTGCAGCCCACCTGGGAGACCCGGATGGAGCCCCAGGTTGCTGGCTTCAGCATATCCCGGCCCTGACTGTTGCAGCCATTTGGGAATACACCAGCAAATGGCAGATCTCTTGCTCTAGTTCTTCCAAATAACAAATAATTTTTAAAAAGTGTTCTTAGTATGTAGAAAAGGTGTATTATCCATGAATTGAAATGTGTCATGCACCAAAATAAACTCATAATATTAGTTCCATTTTCTATGAATTTTTTGTTTTTAAAAATTTATTTATTTGAAAGGCAGAGTTACAGAGAAAGCAGGAGAGACAGACTGACCTTCCATCCTCTGGTTTACTCCCCAAATGGCCAGGCTGAAGCCAGGAGCTTCTACGTGGATGCAGGGGCCCAAATAATTGGGCCATGTGCTGCTGCTTTCCCAGGCACATTAGCAGGGGGCTGAATGGAAGTGGAACAGCTAGGACTCGAACCAGTGCCCATATGGGATGCCGGCACTGTAGGCCGTGGCTCATGGCTTAACCAGCTGTGCCACAGGTGCCGACCCACCAAGAACTCTTTGAAGTACCCTTACAGTCTCATGTCTACATTATTTAAAAAATATATTTCTTAAAAATCTCTTTACTAGATGTCAATCCATTCATCTTTTTAAATGTCTACATATTTTAAAAAATATGAGTGTATGACTTTGTAAAACTGAGTCTAAACTGTGATATCATCGTTACCCAACAGTCAGATTTTATTGTGCTTTGTGAACAAGTTGGTCTGTGCACGACTTGCTGTTCAGCACTTACTTTTTAAAGGGAAAGTAACCAAAGAGAATGTAATACTTTAGATTGGAGGTGAAGTGTTAGAAAAATATGGATGAATTCATACAGATTCTTCCATTTTATGTTTATGTACCACAGAAAGCTCATTATGATGCTTAGGAGTCTTGCATGCTGGCATAATGTCTTTGTCTGATTGTATAATAGGCACAGTGTATCAGAAGCATGAACCAATCTTTTTCCAGTCCATTGGAAATCCATTTATCTTTAGATGCCTTGATGGAGTACTCATTGATGGAAATGACAAAGGAATATCAAAAGTCGTATACAGGTGAGTGGTACCCATGTTAAGATTCATTTATAGGGGACAGAACCACACACTGGATTCTGACCAGCGGCTCGTGTACCTTAAATAAAAATCGGCTTCGTTAACTGCCGTGTAGCAACTTAGTTGTCCTACTGATTAAACAAACAAACAAAAAAGCTGTTCAGGGGAATTGTTTAGTTCTAGAGTTAACTTTGTATGTGTGAACTGCATTTGGAGAAACAGAAGAACAGTCCCTAAGCTAATGCTTTCCTCTCCTGCAGATCTTGCAGTGGCAGGGATCGCCTTGGCCCTTTAAAAATGAGTGACAGTACATGGCTGACAGCAGAGACTGACAATCCACTGGCTGTGGGGCAGTATGTCAATAACTGTTCGAATGGTAAGTCGGCACGGTGAGACTGGAATAAAATCTAGCGTGGTTACTTCTCCCCTGCCACATGACTGAGTGCCAGACACATCAGTGTAACACCTCCGCTGCTCAAAAATGCTTAAGCAACGGTAACTTTCTGAGGGAAGACACCACAGAGAATTTGGGCAAATATTCTTATACGTTATTTGGATTCTTCATTATCTTTGTTCCAGTTTTGTAATAAATAGGTAACTGATAACAACTGCCCTTTCAATTATTATTTTAGCATTTTTGTACTTAGAGATTATTTTGTCACTGCCCTCAATATAGCCTTATAATTTTAAAATCCATGAATAATTTTTTCAAAGTACACATTTTCCATGATCTTTTAATACTCCTTATATGCATAAATTTCAAAACTTTTTGTACCAAAATAAAATTCTCTTTAAAACAATTTTAATGAATTTCTTTTTCATTCTATTTGAAAGGTAGAGAGAGAGAGAGAGAGAGAGAATCCTCCATCTACTGGTTCACTCCCCACATGCCTGTAATAGCCAGGGCAGGGACAGGCCAAAGCCAAGAACCTGGAACTCCATCTGGATTTCCCACATGGGTGGCAGGGGCCAGAATCCTTGAGCCATCCATCGTCTGCTGCCTGCCAGGGTGCACATCAGCAGGAGGCTGGAGTGGAAGCAGAGTGGCCAAAGCTCGAATCAGGCACTCCTAGTTGGGAAATGTGCCGCCTGCAGGCCCCCAAACTTACTATTGTTTAAAATGTTTTATTGAAATACAGTATACATAGCAAGAAATACACATACGTGTGTAGCTAAATGAATTTTTGGTCCTCTGAGCACACTTATAACCAACATCCAAATTAAGAACAACACACTCTAGTACTCTAAGAGTCTCCCTATTCCCTGACTCTCCATTTTTCTTTTTTTTTAAACATGGGAAAGAAGAATATATTGTCATTTACATGGTATGATTCAATGATAAACTTCTTTTAATTCTATTCCCCACAACCGTCTTGAAGTGCTCTTACCTTAATCACTAGACTGGAATCCCCCTCTCTGTTGCTAAGTTTGTGAATTACCATCTTGGAACTTGATGTTCTCATACATTTAATCACTGGACTACATTACACAGTCTGGTGTTAGGCAGCCGTGAACTCAAAGCCTGGTTCTTGGGGCCTGTATTGTGGCAGAGTAGGTGAAGCTGCTGCCTACAGCACCAGTGTGGTTCTAGTCCTGGCTGCTCCACTTCCAATCCAGCTCCCTGCTAATGCACCTGTGAAGGCAGTGGAAGGATGGCTCAGGTGCTTGGGCCCCTGCAACTACATGGGAGACCCGGAGGAAGCTCCTGGCTCCAGTCTGGCCCAGCCCTGGTCACTGCAGCCATTTTGGTAGTGAACTAGCAGGTGAATGATCTCTCTGTCTCTCCCTCTCTGTAACTCTGCATTTCAAATAAATATATCTTAAAATAAAAACAGCCTGATTCTTATTTAACCATTAACCTTTCTGAACCTATTTTTTGATATCTAAAAAGCAAACACACAGTGAAGCATATATATATTTATGAATATAATACAAATCTATATTATAAATATTTTTAAAGTTGTTATTATTTACCATAATATATAAATATATAAAAATCAGTACCTGGGACATAAGTGCTATTTTGATTATGTTCTAATAATTTAGAAAACCATACATCGAGTGTCCTAACAATACCATTTTCCATGACCTGGAATCGCGGCTCCTTTCTAAAGATTGTGTGCTTGTTCCTAGAGAGAGCAGCGAATGTCTGTTACCAGGAGTTTGATGTGCCTGCTGTGTTCCCTGTAGAACTGAAGCAGTACCTTCCAAACACTGCCTACAGCTACGACAGACACAGGTTAGGCTTCTAAAAGTAATTTCCCATCTTCTTTCTTAGGTTGTACTTTCAAAATAGATATTTTCTTTAAATAAGCTGTATAGAATCGGGGCAAAACTTTTTAGTACAAGATTATAAGTAACTTGATTTTCTATCTTCATCACCCCTTAATGTGTTAATTATCATTCTGCTTATCACTGTGTAAAATACATTACAAATTTTGACTTTATAGTTTTCAAGTAATTTGTTTGCCCTACCTGTAAAATCCTCAATTTTTTGCCTTTGTCATGTTTAATATAATGTTCTGTACCTCACAAGAGAGCACTCAATTGAAGAAAAAGGGTCAAATTACACCATAATTTCTTTTGCTCATTTCACTATTAGGTTCTGAAACCTAATCATAAAAAAGGGCTTTAACCAGAAGACACATATTTTTAATGTAACATTCATTTTCAGATTCATTAATGGAAAGTTTACTGAGAATATGCAAGTCAGTTTTTAAATTTTTAAAAAATGATCTGTTTACTTCCATGAAAGGCAGACTTAGAGAATTTTCCATCCGCTGGTTTTCTCTCCAAATGGCTACAATGGCCAGGGTTGGGCCAGGCTGAAGCCAAGAGCCAGGAGCTTCCTCCAGGTCTCCCACATGGGTACAGCGGCTCAAGCTCTTGGATCACCTTCTGCTGCTTTCCCAGGCACATTAGCAGGGAGCTGGATCCCAAGTGGGAACAGCCAGGACTCGAACTGGTGCCCTTCTGGGATGCCAGCACTGCAGATGGCAGCTTAACCTGCTGCACCATCGCACCACCTAACTTTGTAAACAATTCTGGAGAGCTGAGTTCCTTAACAATGCTGTAGGAGGATATCAATGTAAGATTTCACTGAGCTGCTGGCAAACTTTATTTTACATGGGAAATATTAAATTGTATTGAGATGAATGCTATTTAAAATTTGGACTATTCACCAATCTTACACTTAAATTTTCTGTCTGCATATATGTTAATAGGCTATATATTCTGGGACATGATATACGCTTCACAATGTCTTATTGTGTCCAGAAAAAGAATTTTTAAAATTTCACTTAGCCTTAGGCAGTGTTCCCATCTTTCAGAACACAAGACAAAGTAATCAAACAAAGTGAAACTGTGATCCTATTTGAGAATCCTTTTTGTGATGCCCGTTCTGGGGGCCTACACCTAGAAGCCACATTTTCAGAAGAGGTAATCAGTGGTGTAAGACACTAAGCTGTGGTCCTTTTTAACTGACAGAGAACAGACATACTGTAGAATACCTGCCTTGGGGATAAGAATTATTCCCTTATGGAAGGTGAACACATAAACTAAAGTGGAATGAATCTGTGTAGACAGAATTACCCCCTGTGAAGTCCACAGTGTTAGAGGTATGAGCCTGTGGCTGGTAATGTCTACAGTACTTACACTGCCTGTATATTTGTTTTTGTTTTCAGCCTCCTTCGCTGTGTTGTTCTCATTGCACTCAGGGACATCAAGCAAGGAGAAGAGCTTTTTTCAAACTATTACACAATTGTCAGCTAACTGTCAATTAGACATTAGATTTTTCTATCCAGTTATTAATTCTTACTGCTTTTTGCTGATCACTTCTCCAAATTCCACCTTTAGAACAAATACCTTGAGACTTAATTGGAACAATTTTTTATGTCTTGGTTATGTTCTGATTTCATGATAAAAGCTATTGGCTTCACTGCAATTTCAAATCTGTAATACAATTAGCTTTCACTGGCTTTCACCTAAATATGCAATAGCTTATTAAAACCTACTACTTGAATCTATAATTTCATTTTGTGTATCTTTGTGGTGGTTTATAAAACTGTAGCCACACAACAGCAATTCTTGTCTTACTGTGGATTTATACAAACTTCTGAAAAAACTTTTATTTTACAGAATAAAGTCAACAGGTATTGTTGTGTTGCCCTGAGAACATTGTGTGTGTATATTAAAGACTGTTCTATGTGGGTGAGAAGAAAATGTGAGGTCATTATACTGTTTACTCTTTGAACACTTTGACATAAACCCCAAATGATTAAAACAAAAAAAGAGCACCAAAGAGATTACCTTGAGATTGGAGGTCAAAGACAGCAGTGGTGGCAACACCCATCCTGCACCTCTCAGCTTTCCCGTGAAGAGCCTCCATGCTAGCCTCCTAGCCCCCTGGAGGAGCGAGCCCACACCCTGGTCGTTCCTTCTCTCTGGACTCTGCCCGCCAGCAGAACGTGTCCTGCGCTGTTCTCCACCGTGAAGCCTGTAGACAGCCCAGCCAGGGACAGAATGACTCTGGCCAGGTTCCCTGGAGTTTTATTAGCAGTTGATCTCCATCAACCTGACCCCTGCTCTAACTCTCAATTCCTAACTTGGATGAGGAAGAGGGTGCTGTTTGTGGGGCCCCTTAAATCTTCACGGAACCTGTATAACCAGATTCTGACCACCGTCACTGCTATGTCACGAGCTGGGCTCATCTGAGGATTGCAATTTCAAGACTTCTGATCGCCTTGCCTTTTCACTCTCACCCCCACCCTGCCCCCGCCAGAATGTATCACTAAGAGCCGTTCTTTCTGAAAGCGGGACCTTGACAAACTCTTGCTCAAAACCCTTCTGGAATCCCAGAGTGCGTGTCCCAGTCCTTCACCCATCTGGCTTGGCCTCACTGCTGTCCATCTACTCCTTGAACCCACCTGGGGCTCGTATTCTCTCCTCCTGCCAGGACCCCTCACCCCCTTTTCTGTCCTCAGGTGGGAGCTCTACTGAAATTTACAGTCCCCACCACGCTGATACGTGGGGCCATTTTTCCTCTAAGCACTTACCACCACCAATGCATGATAAAAAAGCCCACTGGTGATGAGAATCACAGCCGAAATGACTTTCAGTGGCTTACTCTGCGTCCCAGGGCTTTTCCTCCCTCCCCTAGAGCCCACCAACCTCAGCAGCTCCCAGAGCACTTACCTGTGTTCGTGGCTGCACTCACAATCTCTGCGCCTGTCCCTTGAAGGCATTCCTGAGCACACGGTCACCAAAGCCCTACAGTCGTGCCCTCCAGTGTCTGAGAAGGAAGGAATGCCACTCTAGACAAGTCATCAAAGTGGAGAAGTCAGGTTTTTGCTTTCGTTTTAGCCCTTTCTTGGCCTTCACAAACTCTGGATCTGATCACCGCTTAATAGGAATGGGACAAGAAAAACTCTGGTCATAGCAAACAAAATACGGGGTCAAACTTGGGAAATGCGTCTTAGACAAGATCTTCAGTTTGGAAAGATGAAGGCTTAGCCAAGACAGGACTAGAGCCAACGAAACTACAAATAGCATAAAAGAAGCCTTGTGGACCCTAAATGTGAGAGTCTGCAGTGTGTAATCAAACTTCAGGTGTCATGTTATAAGACACAACAGCCTAGACCTGTATTTGAAACACAACAGTCAATAAATGTTTCCTGAATTAAACTAAGAGCACAATCCTTGCTTTGGGATGGCTAGAAATTTACATTGAAAGCTATTATACAGGATTTGAAGAAAACTTCACCTACCAACTTTATTATCTGCCTATCAAATATCTTCCTAACTATCTAAAAGCAACTTAATGGTGGCACAATATCAACCTATTTTGTATAGCTTAACATTCGTTAACTAAAAAAAATCTACTTTTGGCAAATATTCACACAAACCAAGAAAAAAAAAGATTTCCAGATTTTTATTTCTGGAACTGTACACCAGGTATTAAAGTACAACAAATACAAAATAATGCTCAAAAAAATCAGTGTTTATGTACAAATATTAAAATCAACGCAACAATAGCAACTTCCTCTTGAACATCTGATACTAAAACTTGTTCTGATTGTCACTAATTTATCATTCTCACAGGGTACTTAGCTCAAACTGGGACAACTGGAATCACTGGTCATCTAAGAGGAATATTAATAGCTACCATATGTAACAATAAAACTAATAGCTTCCTCCTTTCAGTGAAAAAATTAGGAACTTTTTAAAAAACATAGTAATGTCAATATTTTTATAAATTATTTCAGTTTCCATTTGTAGACAATGTGCTTTGAAACTCGGGGAAAACAATCTCCTTGGTGGTCAGGTTTATTTGTTAGTTTACATTCAAAGTTGGAATATTTACTAGAGACTTTGGTTAAATTAAATAGTGTCACTATGCTCTATTAGATCTGACGTTCTCAAATATTTATGACCCTCAATTTTAAAAATTAAAAGGAAACGATTGCACAATTCTTTGACCTAATTGTACAGACTTTAGTATTTTTTAAACAGTATCCTACATCCTTCAAGTAAATTCAGCAGTTGACGATGACAAGAGGAAAACTAAACATTTAAAAAGCTAGCATGAAAAAGATGAAGTACGACTAGCAAAAAGTAAAGTATTGCTATAATCACAGCACCAGTTACACTTCTAAATGAATCCACTGTCCTCTTGAATTCCCTGTACATAAAGATGTATCAGCCAACACTGCAAATGCTCATCATGAATTTTTGGTTTGTTCATACAAAAATAATGTGGCAAAGGAAAAAAAAAGAATTTATCACAGTTTGTTATAAGAATTGTGCTTAACACTTGATAATAAAGGCATTATTGTTTCATCATATGATTGCAAATCAGATATTCCATGCTTTCAAACGCAATTCTTTTAATAAACAGTAACAAATTCTGTTAAGATGTTTCAACAGAGGAAAAAAAAACAGTAAATCCAGCTTTTAAAAGAAAATTCAATAAATAGCTATTTTACATGGATAAAGTCATAGTGGTACAATTGATGAATGCCACATCAAGCATGCACAAAATGGTATTATACATGGCAGAAGTAGTCAGAAAATATTGAATTAGATCTAAAAAGATAGGAAGAATTTACAGATATATACAAAAATCTTGCAAATTATTGCCTCATTTTAACAAGGAATTAAAAGTAAACATTACCAGCTAGTTAGCACTCTCTAAGAGGCTAAAATCAGGTTGGTATTTAAAAATCTATTAAACTAGCTGGAATTTATTTTTCTCTCATACCATTTTCTAGATTTTGGTCAAAAATCTTTATTTAAATAACTAAAGTGTCCATTCAACTTGCTGATAATCAAAACTTTAGATAAGAAACACTGTTTCCATCTTGTATCAAGATCCCAGCAATGCATAGATAAACTGAATATATTACTGCATCAGCTAATGAGAATGGGCATGTTCATTTAAGTGCAACTGGTATTAGCATTCAGTCATCTTTGTGTAAATTATTTATACAGACCAGCCACAGTAAACCCAGAGTGAAAACCAACGTTATAACAATGGAAGATTATGGCCAGTATCTTACTAAATTATAGAAAGTGTACTGATTTTTAACAAAAGAAATAAGGTTCAAAGTTTAGCATAACACAGCAATAAGAAGCTGACAACTTGGATAAAAATATTGGAAAGCGACACAGAGCCCAGGCTACCCATTATTTACTGTGTGCATACAGGAATGCTATTTTTTTAGATGTATAAATTAGAGACTGATTTTAAGTTATTAATTTAACTACTTTTGTCCACTGTGCTAAACTAAATTTATAGTAAATGTGCTACTGCGTAAACACTTCAAAGCAATCTTCATTAAAATGCTGCAAAGGAAAAATAAGAATACATATCATCCAAAACTCAGGATGTCATTGCAGTTCACAGTTTGTATAATAAATACCCTCCCTTTCAATCACTACTAAGATCACTACAGCCTATCTAATCAGCACAACCTGGAAGCAACTTAGAGTTACAAATATTAGCAATGCAGCCGAACACTTAAAGTTTTTTGCAAAGCAACACAACTAGTAAGAATCAAAACTTCTAATTAAGACGGTGCAAAAAGAAAACTGCTTTAACTGTACTAGAAAAGCAAAGCTTATTACATCCTAATACTGTATTACACATTGTTTGATTCACCTTATAACTTAAAGATGCCCATTCATAGAGCAAAATGGCCAAGGTTTACGACAATGGCTTCTCATTCACAATGTTTGGATAAAAATAAAACTGAGTATGAGATGCAACTGAACGTCTATCACTTTTTGAAACTTAAAGTGGTAACGTACCATTCTGTTTCACATAGGAACTCACATTTTTCTTGCCAACTCTTTAAGCTAAACAAAATAGCTTCAATATACTTCAAGGTTCGACTGCATTGTGTGTAAAATCTCGAAGTCCCTCTCAACATAAACACTTGGAACTGCAGTGCTACAAACAACTTAAGAGGTGTCCTCAAATGTAAACCATCGAGTGGCAACGTCCTAGGCCTCGTAGACTGTGCCTCTGCAAGTCAACTGCCCAGGACAAACTAAATCATCAACGTCTGGCGTGACAGTGAAGTTTACGATCTTGATCATGGTGGACAGAACCCCACATGCATACCACATCTTCAAATGCCAAATTTGTAGCCAATAAATGAAGTTACACAGAAATATCCTGGCAGGAAAATGACCAATTCTGTGCACGGTAGCCCTGGTCTAGAATTTTGAAACAGGATCCAAGCAAGCGTCTTCATAATCTGCACGTAGTTCTTCGTGCTGGCTTCCATAAAGATGGACTTGCTGTTTTGTAAACTGAAGTGCTCTAGTTGAATAACATGAGAGAATTTCCATTTTAAAAAAATCCTTGTATGTTTGTGCAGTTTAAAGAAACCTACCCCTGCTTTTATTAATTAAGAAAATAAAACCAAAAAAATGCTACATTGAGCAGGGATTGGGATTGGTACCTGTAAACATTGTTATTCCACTGCATCCATTACGGCAAAAGGAATTTACACAAAAAGAAGCC